CTACAAATTTAGGGCCAGCTCATGGCATGGTGGATCCCACAGGGCCAACTGCATGATTTGATTCTCAGACTTGGTGACTTGAGAAGTATGTTAGGTGCATGTGCATGGTGCCCAAAATCTCAAAAAGAGGCAGACATGGAGGAGAAAGGGTACAGTGTGACCGTGACTGAGTGCTTTGTCCCTTTCTCTCTCTCTCTTTTTCATGCTCTCTGTTTCTCTCCAGTTAGTGCATGCATACTCTAGGGGGGGAAAATTAATTAAAAAAATAATAATTTTGGTACACAAGTTTTTGAAATGCTTGCACTTTTTTCATGATATGCATTTCCTTGAACTTTCTGAATCTAGGGGGGAAAAAATTAATTAAAAAAAATAAAATAATTTTGGTACACAAGTTTTTGAAATGCTTGCACTTTTTTCATGATATGCATTTCCTTGAACTTTCTGAATACCCTGCATATAGTCCACCTGTTAGCCAACTTAATGCCGTAAATAACCTACTTTATTTTAGCCAAATCTTGGGAGGTGAGGATGTAAAACAGTAGAAGGTATTTTGTCCAATATGTTGGCAGTTCAACTTTAACCCAGATGACCCAAGAGCAGAATGGTCCTAGGCAAGGAGTAAACCTTAAGTCCTGAGGCAATGGATTTTTCTGGGATCATTCTGCATCCTCGGATTACAGGGTCTTGTCTCCGAGTGAGTTCTGTGCATGCCCTATTTCGGCAACCTTGTGTTAAGTGTGATTTGCTGATTATTTTTATACCAAAAGGAGGTTTGCCTAGCCTGGTATTCTAAGTTTAATGTAGCAAATTTTAGGATAAAATCCATCTTGAAACAGATTGCTGACTATTTAAGTAGAGAAGCTGGCTTAACTGAAATAAAAAGGAATAACATTTCTAGATCAAAAAAAAAAAAATGTTGGAGAAGAGGAGCAGTTAGAGTGGGAGAAAAATATATCTGTTGGAAAGAGCCAAGACATACAACTTGAGAAAACAACTACACCCAGCAGGAAACCCAGCTGACTTGAAGAAATGCCATACAAATAGGGATGCCAGAGGACGGACTGCTGTGTGTCTTCCTACCTAAGGACTCACAAAAGTGTAGGGCCTGAAACGTTCAGTCCTAGAGGTGTTCGAGTCCTTAGTGACACTGTCTGGCGTCCTGTGTATTCACAGCCTGGAATGGCAACACAGTTACTGAGTCTGTAAGATTTATTTTATTTTATTTTATTTTATTTTATTTTATCATTTACTGAGTGTCAGCAATGTTAAAACTTTAAAGAACAGCAGTATTGCCCACTTGTCTCTGCGCAATTAGATTTCAGTTTAGGACAATAAAACCAATCTATAATTTTAAGCTCAGACAGGCAAAGAACAGGAAATTCATGATGAAATTCGGGGCTCTTCTTTTTTTCTTTTTTTAGAGAGAATTTTGCTATTTGGCACATGTGATTGTTGGAGACGCAGAGAAACAGAAAGGCAGAAATCACCACCCCCTGCACCGGGGAAGAGGGGGTGAGGATGGCTGTGCTGCAATCCCTTCTCCTCCATTCTTCTCTCTGGATCTTGGGCATGCACACACAGGCTCCCAGCATGAGTTTTAAGCCACTGGGCCTGGGATTCAAACTTCCATTGACTACGTGGGATTCCAGCAATGTAACCATTACACCATCTGCTGGTCTCAGAGGGCTCTTATAATACTGTAAATCCAGGATTGTTTTTGCTCGGCTTAGACTCATTTTTTTGTTTGATGGGCATTGTGATTCTCTAGAAATCTATTAAATGGTCACAGAAAAGAAGAAAAAAAAAGGCATTGAGTGAAAATGTGACCCATTGGGGCCAGAAGATGGTGTAGTGGTTACTTCGCTGGGCTTCTACTTGGCCAACAGTGGTTTCAGTCCCAAACCTGGTGGCTTCAAAATCATGCTGGGCATTTGTGCATGCATGCCAGAGATCCTGGGAGAAGAATGGAGGAGAAGTGATTGTGGCATAGCCATTCCTCCCCAGGGGTGGCGTTTTCTCACTTTGCCTCTCACTGTCTCTGTCTCTCTTTCTCTGGAAAGCATACATGCCCTATGGCAAAAACCTCTTAAAAAATGTGATCCATTAATTTAAGAACCTGTATGTATGGTAGACCTCTGAATCAGAAATCAGGCTTTTCTAATTGATCATTATACAATGTATACATGTATCAGAATTTCACCCTGTATCCCATACATATGTACAAGTATTATATGTCAATTAAAAATTTAAAAAACGAAAATGAAAGACATAGATTTGAATCCGAGATCCTCTTTAATTCATTGTTGATCTTTGATCACGCATCACGTTATACGACCTCTCCAGAGGACTGTTCTCTGTAGCGTGGCATTGATAGCCTAGCTCGGGTGTTTTAGAGGGTTCAATGGAAACATACAAGAAAATGCATAATGTCATTTGACCACCATTTCTGTCCCAGGTAATTTTGCCATTCCTCATTGCTGCTTGAGATGAGATACTTTAAATGATATAATAGTGTTTGGAAAAAACCTTCTGAAGTACTCCCACAAACAATGAAGATGATGCTTTGTCTTAATTTGTTCTCCAACTTTGGCCCAAGTCTTTAATGCATGTTTCAAAAAGTCAGGGGAAAAAGCCTGTATGAACTAAATACATGTCTACATGTATATAGCTGTGTATATATATATATATACCTATGTCTGTACACAGATAAACACACACACACACACACATATCTTCACATTCAAAGTGGTTTTCATATCTTTATTGTTGGACATCTGTGTCACTAAAAATGGTTTTATTCTATACATTCCCTCCAGCCCTCTCTTCTCAGTCATGGCCTACGTCTGACCCATGACTGTCTATTTGTGGCTAGCTTACATTTCACATGATGGAGATCCTGAAATAGAAAAAAATAAAAATAAAAAAAAGGACATAGTAGTTGAAAGCACTAAGGTCATCCTTAGGATTATGGCAGTTAAAGGTAATATTAAAAATGTAGCAAGACAGTGACAGGAAATAGTTGGAAGTAGACGACTCTTGTAGAACGGAAGTTGTAGATCAAGAAATATAAATAAAATAAAAGGTAACGATCTCACAGGAGTTATTCTTGTGGAAAACAAAGTTTCTGAAATCTTTTAAAAGTTGGGACCAGCAGTTAGTGTAATGGCTATGTCGCTGGACTCCCATGTAGTCAACCGCGGTTCAAGTCCTGTACCCAGGGGCTTAAACTCACGCTGTGCGTGTGCGTGTGTGTCCAAGATCCCTAGAGGCGAGTAGAGGAGAAGGAATTGTGGCATGGCCATCCCCCCAGGGAGTGATTTCTCACTTTCTGTCTCTCTGTCTCTGTCTTCCTGGCGAGTGCATGTGCCCTAGAGCAAAAACCTCTCCAAAAAAAATTAAAAAGTAATATTACAAGATTAATAAAAAATGCAGAAGTGAATTAGAAAATGAAGGACAATATTGAACTCTTCTACTATTCTTTATTACGCATTCTTCTTTGATAAAAATCATTCCTATTTTTCACGTTTCAATTACATTTGATGATTTTGGTGTTTACTGAAATACTATAGTTTGCAGAAAATAGCACAGTATAAGCACTGATCCCTCAAATTGTAAACACGTATTCTTTTTTTTTTAAGAGATATTTTTTTCTATAGGGCACATGTGCTCACTGGAGAGATGTGGACAGACAGACAGAAAGTGAGAAATCACCTCCTGCAGGCATGGCCGTACTGCAATCCCTTCTCCTCCATTATCCTCTTGGGATTTGGGGCATGTATGTACACCTGCCTTGCGTGAGTTTTAAGTTACCAGATCAGGGACTTGAATCACAGTCAACTATGTGGGAGTCCAGTGGCATAACCATCATGCCATATACTGGTTTCATAAGTGCATATTCTTAATCCTCCTTTGTTTTTAAGTTTTTTTAAATTTTTCTTTCTTTCATGAAAGAGGCAAAGAGAAAGAGAAAGACATCCCCAACAGGGTCTTCATGCCACAATCTACTTCCAGTCTTCATCTTCCCAGATCACAGGCACACGTGCGTGTGTTCAGAGCAACCAGGGAGGCTCCAGGACACAAACCCAGGACCTGCCCTTGCTAGTCCAGTCATGTTATTGCTGAGCCAACATCTAGAAAGCCCTATTCATTTTCAAAGAACACTTGGCTTTCTACTCAACCTTTTTGGGCTGTAATTTTTCAAAAGGGAATTTTAATTGAACAGTGATTACACTTTCTCAAATAAGTTGATTAACATTGATAGAAACAGTATCAACTTTTTAATTAATGTTTAATTATGGAACATCTAACACCATTTTTGTTCCTGATGTGTAAACAACTATGGTTTTATTCTTCCTCTTATTGTTGAGTTGAAGTCAATCAATTGAATGGTAAGCATCCGCCCTAGGAGATAAACATCAGTGTCAAAAAGATCAGCGCTTCTTGTCCTGTTCTACCTCCGCTACACAAAAACTGCAAAAAGACACTAATCAATTTAACATAAAATTAGTGTGTGGACTGAAGTGACCACATTTCATTTTTAAATGGTCAAAATGGTTTGTCAAAGACTCTTGGACTACATTTCCCAGTGCCAAGTCAAAATTGCAAGCTAAGGGTAGACTGAGTCAAAATAAAATAATTAGGTAGAGTTTGGTTTTTAGCATATCTATTTTTTTTTTTTTGGCTATAGGGCGCATGCGCTCCAGACAGACAGACAGACAGAGACAGACAGAAAGAGAGAAATCACCCCCCCAAGGGGGATGGCCATGCCGCAATCCCTTCTCCTCCATTCTCCTCTTGGGATTTTGGGCATGCATGCACATGCGCCTGGTGTGAGTTTAAGCCACCGGGTCCGGGATTCAAAC